GAAAACTCTGGTCCAGATGATCCACCATACTCGTTTAACTCTGATACCCAATCCGACTCATCCGAAAGTGATTCAGCTCCTCCTGATACTAGCGAACAACACCAAAAAAAAATAGTTCAAAATCTACTCTCAACTGGCTACAAAGGTCCCCATATCTTAAAAATTCTTTGGGATGAACATGGAATACAGATGTCTGCTAGAACTCTCAGTCGAAAACGAAAAGAATGGGGACTCCGATTATGCGATCTTGAACAAGCACCACCTCCCACACCACTATCTCCCAAGATTCGAGCCTCACTAGTTTCCTCACACTCCAAAGGAATGAATCTAAACGAGATTCAGGCACGGCTAGCTAGCGAGACAAGTGTTAATGTATCCATCCGTACCATCAAGCGCTACTTAAAACAGCTTAACTTGAAACTTCTTCGAAACGATGTAACTCATGGTAAAGTTACTATTCAGCAAGTATATGACGCTATCCACGATGCTCGAACTAGAAGGCTACAAAGTGATGCTGGCTATCGAAGGATGAGAATGATCCTCATGAGGGAATATGATATTCAAATCCCACAGTAAGTATCCTTATCCAGGTCTTACAAAAATAAACTACAGAATAACTTATGACCTTTCAATTTCAGACGGTTAGTCTATGATGTTCTCAGGGAAATCGATCCAGAGGGTATGGCTGCTCGACTACGAGGTGTATGCAAACGTCGAATATATCGAACAAATGGACCCAACCACATCTGGTCCAGTGATGGACATGATAAGTTGAAGCGCTTTGGACTTACCATATACGGATTTGTTGATGCCTGGTCAAGAAAAATTCTTGGGATGTTTGTTCATGTAACAAACAACGACCCTCGCCACATTGCGGTGTACTTCCTTCAACTTGCATCTAAGGCTGGTGGAATCCCACTCCTACTCACAACCGACTGTGGTACCGAAACTGTTAAAATGGCTAGGTGTATGATGGAATTAACATATACTCACATGGAAATCTCACTGGAAGATGCAGCAAAGCGAATGCATTACACCAAGTCGACACATAATCAAAAAATCGAATCCCTTTGGTCTCAGATGATGAAGCAGCACAACCGTGCAATCAAACACGATATTCAAAGTCACATTGAAGATGGGAGTTATGATGACCAAGATGATGTTCAAAAGTGAGTATAATGAAACTCTTTGTTTGTTTCGATTATACTAACTTGCCTGCTTCAGACTCTTGTTTCTATTTCTGTGGGTTCCTGTACTCCAAGCAAGTGTTGATAGCTGGGTTGATACGTATAACAACTACCGAAAGCGACGGGATCATCTCACCACACTTCCAACCGGTGTAAGCTCGGAGTTTGCATATAGCACCCCTGAATATTTTGGAACCACCAATCAACTCCTCAAGATGCCTTCCTCCGATATCGACTTGATGTTACAGACAGACTACCCGAATCTTGATTTGTTATTTGCTCATACTCCTCTTGACTTTCATGAAGTGGCAATTGAAGTCATGGGGAATCTTGGTTGGGATTTTTCTCAAATTAATACAGGAAATGTATGGTTTGTTTTTCATGAAATGCTCCCCCATGTTGTTGCCCAATATATCCCACCAACCGACTCATCCAGTGAATACGAATCCCATCTTTCCAACGAATCTGGATCACACATTTCAAATGTTTCTGAATCTTACATCAGTACTACTTGTAACCACTCATCATTCGAATATGAAACACCTTAATCAGTAGATGCATTTCAAAGTACACAAATAATTTTTCATCATTCTTTTGTTTCATCTTTCAACCTCATTATGAATCACCCCATCTTTTAATATTTTTTTTGTAAGATTGAAGTAAATAAATTGATTTTTTTATTCAGACTTACATGCATCCTAATCCCACTTACTCATTCCCCACCAATATGCCTCTAAGGGTGGGGCTATACATGTGAAGTTTTATTAATAAATATATATCAAAATCATATACATATTATTATTCTTTTCTCCGTAAGTGATTATTCTTTGATACATATATGACTGTGTGGGGATGTTATTTTGGCCTTTTTTCTGAATTCACTACACTTCTAAGATTACCAACCATGGAGTGCCTTCCAGTACGTCTCACAACTCATTTCACTAAACCGTGGAGTGCCTTCCAGTATGTCTCACAACTCATTTCACTACTTACGTTTCACTACTTACTCAGGAGATTTTCAAATTCAACTAACTAACCAATTTACAACTAAACCGTTCAGCATTTAAACTTCTTCAGCTTTCAGGTATTTTAAACCAATCGATCACTTCAAGTAATTACACCACTCAGACTTCAACCGGATTCACAACCATGCAGCTAGAATTTCAAATTACAATTATTTTCAAATCCTCTGTCATCATGATTGCATCCCTGAAGAGGTGAGTATCGACCTGATTCATTCTCAAAATCTCTCAAAAAAATTTCAGCTGACCAGCTTCATTATCCAATAACTAGATCACCAATCACCGGATGGAAAGAAATAATCCATCTTATCCGTTTATTAATCAAAGATCCTAGGCGATAATCTTCCGAAAACGTGGACCCAGATTCATTCTATCATTTTTCGCCACTTCATCCTTAACCCTCATTGGGTGCTGCAACCTCCCTTCAACTTTGTGAGTTCCCTGCCCCTCAACCTTCCTCTCAGGTGCCTACTTGGCAGCCAAGTCGCTGCCAAGTGGGTACAGTACTGTTTTTCAATCATCTGGGCTGACCTTTTTTTGCTTCGGTCAGCCCCACCCGGTCGCAGGAGCTACCACCAACGACAGTGAGTTCCCCCCCCCCCCCCCTTCTCATCTCACGGCATCATTTTACATCAGTAGGGCTGACCTTATTCACTTTCGTCAGCCCCAAGCCATCAATTCAACGAAGGACCCACCAACCGACAACGGTGAGTCCCTCCCCCCTCCTCATCTTCCCAGGCACGGCACCGTTTTTGATTGAACTGACCTGTTTCTCTTTGGTCAGCCCCCCCCCCCCCCCCAAACGATTTGACAACGCGGGACCCACCGCCAGACGACTGTGAGTCCCTCCCCCCTCCTCACCCATCTCTTCTGCCCACTTGGCAGCAACTTTTGCTGCCAAGTGGGCATGATCGCTTTTCAATCGATCATGGCTGACCGTCATCACCTCGGTCAGCCCCAGGAAAATAAATCATCGCCGGGACCCACCGCCGACGACGGTGAGTCCCCTTGCCCTTCTCTTCTGCCCACTTGGCAGCAGCTTTTGCTGCCAAGTGGGCACCACCGCTTTTCAAACGATCATGGCTGACCGTCATCACCTCGGTCAGCCCCAGCAAAACGAATCATCGCCGGGACCCACCGCCAACGACGGTGAGTCCCCTTGCCCTTCTCTTCTGCCCACTTGGCAGCAGCTTTTGCTGCCAAGTGGGCACCACATCTTTTCAATCGATCATGGCTGACCGTCATCACCTCGGTCAGCCCCAGGAAAACAAACCATCTCCGGGACCCACCGCCGACGACGGTGAGTCCCCCTTGCCCTTCTCTTCTGCCCACTTGGCAGCAACTTTTGCTGCCAAGTGGGCATGATCGCTTTTCAAACGATCATGGCTGACCGTCATCACCTCGGTCAGCCCCAGCAAAACGATTCATCGCCGGGACCCACCGCCAACGACGGTGAGTCCCCTTGCCCTTCTCTTCTGCCCACTTGGCAGCAGCTTTTGCTGCCAAGTGGGCACCACATCTTTTCAATCGATCATGGCTGACCGTCATCACCTCGGTCAGCCCCAGCAAAACGAATCATCGCCGGGACCCACCGCCAACGACGGTGAGTCCCCTTGCCCTTCTCTTCTGCCCACTTGGCAGCAGCTTTTGCTGCCAAGTGGGCACCACATCTTTTCAATCGATCATGGCTGACCGTCATCACCTCGGTCAGCCCCAGGAAAACAAACCATCGCCGGGACCCACCGCCGACGACGGTGAGTCCCCCTGGCCCTTCTCTTCTGCCCACTTGGCAGCAACTTTTGCTGCCAAGTGGGCATGATCGCTTTTCAAACGATCATGGCTGACCGTCATCACCTCGGTCAGCCCCAGGAAAACAAATCATCGCCGGGACCCACCGCCGACGACGGTGAGTCCCCTTGCCCTTCTCTTCTGCCCACTTGGCAGCAGCTTTTGCTGCCAAGTGGGCACCACATCTTTTCAATCGATCTGGGCTGACCGTCATCACCTCGGTCAGCCCCAGAAAAAGGATTCATCGCCGGGACCCACCGCAGACGACGGTGAGTCCCCATTCCACTTATCTTCTGCCCACTTGGCAGCAACTTTTGCTGCCAAGTGGGCACAACCCCTTTTGAATCGATCAGGGCTGACCGTCATCACTTCGGTCAGCCCCAGAAAAACGAATTAGCACTGGGACCCACCGCCGACGACGGTGAGTCCCCCTTCCCCTTCTCTTCTGCCGGGCACCACCCCTTTTGAATCGATCAGGGCTGACTGTCATCACTTCGGTCAGCCCCAGAAAAACGATTTAGCGCCGGGACCCACCGACGACGACGGTGAGTCCCCCTTCCGCTTCTCTTCTGCCCACTTGGCAGCAACTTTTGCTGCCAAGTGGGCACCACCGCTTTTCAAACGATCAGGGCTGACCGTCATCACTTCGGTCAGCGCCAGAGAATCGATTCATCGCCGGGACCCACCGCCGACGACGGTGAGTCCCCCTTCCCCCTCCTCATCTTCCCAGGCACAGGACCGGTTTTTGATCGTTCTGCCTGATTTGCTTTGGTCAGCCCCACCCCCCAAACGATTCCACGTGGGACCCACAGACAGAGGACTGTGAGTCCCTCCCCCCTCCTCATCTGCCCACTTGGCAGCCATGTGGCTGCCAAGTGGGCACAGTGCTGTTTTTGATCATTGGGGCTGACATGTTTTGCTTCGGTCAGCCCCCCCCCCCCCAAACAATTTCTCCCGGGACCCACAGAAAGACGGATATAGCCCCCCCCCCCCCTTGGTGAAGCAAGTCATTGATCCCCCGTGCACTTGGATACACAATGGACCAGTCTGGTAGTAATCCCCCGCCCATGTCGTAAATACATTATTTTTCTGTCATTATCTTTCTGTCTCTTCATCTTATTGTTCAATCCCTTTACTCAAAACCCCCCCAACCAAATGCAATTTAATGTTAATCATCGGGATGATGATCTCTTTAAATTACTCTTGTGCGGGGGTGGGGTGAAGAAGGAGTTTTACTGTTAATCATCGGGATGATGATCTCTGTAAAATTTCTTCTTCCCCCCAAAAAAAATTAATTAATGTTAATCATCGGGATGATGATCTCTTTAATTAACTTTAGTAGGGTGGTGAGGGAGGAATTTTAATGTTAATCATCGGGATGATGATCTCTTTAAATGTTCCTCCTTCACCCCCCACCCTAATATGAATATTATTACTTCACATAATAAATTCACCTTCTTATTCATTTCGATGTCATACTAATCACCTGCTGTTTCTTCTTATGTTCACAGTGCTCATCAAGCATATCAAAGGCAACAAAAGCGAAAGAATAATTATGCTCATCAAGCTTGCCGGGATGCTCAGAGGGCAACAGTTTTTACATCTTCATTACACCCGGATACTAAGATAATGAAAAGAGAATACGTCAAATATGATCTTTACCCGGTCAGACATGCTAAAAATGCTAGTACCGAAGAGGTTCGAAAAACCCATCCAACCCCAGAGGAATTCGAGGCCGCGGAAACTGCTCTTCTTGATCGAGGTCAATTTACACTAATCAAGGATGGCCGCTTGGTTCTATACGAGAAAGATGTATCCGTTCTCAAACCTGGTGAAAAAAGGAAGCACAAATTTATCGCCTACATTGAGTTCACTAGTTCTGCTTATTTAACTACTGAAGACGGTCCCCATAAGCTATCGACTATCCAACTAGAAAACCTTAGCTTTTTGTCTCATTTCTTATTTCAATGCCGCAACTACATCTCAACCGTTCAAAGTGTCGCCAAAATCTTTCGTGGTTACATGTGGACTATCGGATGGCGTAAAAGTCAGACTGAGGGAGAAATGGCTGGTCGATACGTTGACACTGGAAAAATCAGTTCCGATACCTTCTATTACATGGAAAACTTAATGGAAGCTTTTCGAGCAGGTGATATTATACATGATTTATTCCATTCCATTGCTGATACGGCTGTTCTAGGAATGAAGACACTTTTGAAGGATTGTAATCTCCCTGGCTTCAACCATCTCAACTTAGGAAACACCCCAGTTGACACCGACATGGCTTCCAACTTGGCATTCACCATGAATGAATTCTCCAACCGTCCACATAACGATACAGATGTCTCCAAACATGCTTTCTTATTCCTTACTAATGTGGATAAAAACACTGGTATGTCAAATCTTCATGTTTCTTTACATTCAACGTGTACTGATATGAATTAATAAATAAACAGGTGAAATACAACTTAATAGCCATTTGGATCCAAGTTTCCAAGGACCTTTCTTTGTTTTTCCTGATCACCGAGTGGCTGTGGATCTCAGAAAATTAGATGGAATTTGTAGGATTGTTTTTGCTGCCGGTGAATTCCGACACTGTACTCATAACAACCAGCCCACTCATAAGAAGCTTACCTCCATGGGCTTTTCCCTTCAAATTACTAAATCCTGTGTTGACGCATTCAAGAAGATTTGTAATGGCTTTTATGATGGGAAGTTAACAAAATCGGGAAAAGAATATTACATTGGTGATTGTAGTCATACCTTAAAAAAGATCAAAGAAGATCACAAGAAAAACTTGTAATTATTTCATATCATCGATTTCTGAAGTCATTCTCATGTTCAATCTCATTCTAAAATCTCTAGATACAAATCAAAATATACAATTACTAGTTGTTATGTCTCAATTCCTGATTTGCTTTTTTATTTCAATTCATTCTACTGTCTCGAGATCAAAAAAGAAAAACACATGATACTACGGTTGTTTGCTACTTCATTTTAGAATAAACATCTAATTGGTAGGTACATCATAAGTGATAACAGAAAGCTCAATTTTTAGTAGTAGCAGGATGAGGAGAAAATAAAGTGTCATGATTCGGAAGCGGAGATTCGTTGTGATCAATAAGGTTAGAAATAGAAACACGTGATTTTTGGATAGGTAAAGTATTATTTTTTAACATGGGAGTATCTATAACCTGAGGTCTCAGTGGTTTCACCTTTTTTTTTTGGAAGGATTGTTCGACAGGTTTGCTTTAGATATAGATGATTGTTTGTGCTCTTCTTCTATTTGCTCGGGAGGAGAGAGCTCTAATAATTCGCATAGTTCGTTACATTCGTGATCTTCCACAAACTTTCGGATTCCATAGTTCGAATTGTTACCATCTGCCCAACGGCTTAAATAAAAGTGAAAAGTGAATTTCAGTGACATACTAAACCAGACAGAAGGGAGATGTACTTACGTTTGATCAACATCAATGATTTGAGGATCAGTGATGATAGGGCCTACTCCCTGTAAGTCACAAATCAGTTGTTGGCCTGCAGATTCGTGGTAACTCCAGTGTGTAAAGGTATTCATCAAACGGCATATGATAGGATCGATTCCTTCTTCTTCTTCATCCACGTTAAAGTCGGTATTACTGGAGTACTTCACATATTTTCCTTTTAATGCAGCCTCAATAAAGTAAACTTCGGAGGGGATATCGACATCACCAGTTACAACTACCGCATGTCTTATAACCTTGAAAAATAAAATAAAAGATCAGATATAATTTACTAACAGTTTATGTTAAAAGTGATATATGTACTCACTTCTAGTAACTGCAACTTCTTACGGTATGCTTTATGAAGAGCTCGACATCTTGAAAGAACCTTCTTGAAACTATCCAAGAGTAGTGCACTTGCCTCGTACATGAGTGCATCGGTAGCATGTTTTTCGACGGAAGGTGTCAAGTCGTGGAATCGTTTCTTTGCAACATAATCCACAAGTGTTACTTCACCATTTCCTTCCACAATCTTAACCACCGCCTTATAAGTGATCCGCATGCTTCCCTGACCAATGACTTGATCCTGATTGACCCGTAAGGTTATTGGCTGAGTGTCAGCACAGACAAAGGAGACTTTTCTGAACAGGGATTGATTTGGGATATTGTTGGTTTCGAAGATTAAGCGTTGACCGTAAATCCAGCCATCTTTATTGATGTGAACAGATGAAAGAGTCCCTTGACCGAGAAATCCCAACTGGGTTTTCAACCCTACAGCTCCATGTGATGGCATCGTACCTAAGAAGAATAACAAGTGAAGTGACAAATAAACAACTGTTCTATTTAGACATGAAGAGAAAAAATATAAATATGTAGAGACTCACATGCAAGACCTCCAAGTGCCCACTTTGATTGGGTGTTAGACCCACTCAATCCGATTGAAGAGTTCCTGTTCGAAGTATCGTTACGTTTTTCCAAACGGGTCTCTGATTTCTCGAAATTTGGTTCTGAATCGGAGCTCGAATCTTCATATTCCTCTTGAACCTCTGGATCTGGATGTTGGTAGGTGAGGTCGATTTGAACTGGTTTTTTATCGGTAGACTTTTCCAAAACAAAGAGAAGGGATTCCGGATTGGTAAGGCGGCTTTTACCTTGGGAAAGGCTAACAAAGTTGGCGACATCTGGGGGCAGTTGTTTGATGGATGTCTTAGTCGGAAGCTCTTTAGAGAACACTTTCCATAACTTTTCGAGGAGATTGTAAAAAAAATTGGGATTATTTAAATCAACCTTATGCTAGATATTGAGAATCCCCGTATCCTTCTGGAGCTTTGAGTTTTGATACAGAACAAAGCCACAGTCAATCAAGCGCTTGGTGCTGGATTTACTTGAAAGGGATACAGAATGTTTAGAGGAAGAGGACTGAGGCTTCTTCTTTGGATAAGGAGATGAAGACGGGTTTTTTTTACATTTGGATTTAATATCCTCTTCAAAGAACTGTCTTAAGGTGGATGGAAGGGATAAACTTCTACTAGGAAATTGGGATTCAGAACTATTATTATATCGAGAGGAATTTGATCTAGAGGTGGTTGGGAGAGTAGGGGAAGAGGTATGATCTTGTTTTCTAATGCTAGATTCAATACACCTCATACACCATCCTTGAATAAAAGGACCATTAGTCCTATGCTTACATTTAGCACAGTGAGACATGACTAGCTTTAGGGCTTATAATTGGGGAGTGGTGGTGGTAGATTGGTGTAATGATAAGGGTTAAAATCGGTGAGCGGAGACCAAAAAAGTGAACTGATAACGTGTTATGATTTAGAGAGTGAGTCACTGTTGAACTTATTCATTCGCTTGTCCTTTCCCTTTTATAACCAGATTATCCAACATGTATATTTTGAAAACGTTTCATTAGAGGATCTGTATTCACACTATAGCTACAGGAGACATGCAATCAACAAATAAAGTGATCAAACATCTCAAAGTAAAGGTTTCTACTTTTTGTTATGTGAAATATCATTAGATGGATATTTAATTCTACGTAATCTTTACGATTCATCCTTAACTACTTCCCTCAGGCTATTAGAAAGTAAAATTATCATCAAGATGTTACATCTTAAATCGGTTGAATTACTATATAATACTTTTATATTACAAGTGATGTAAGAAAACTTGGTTGATTGAGGAGAAAAAAATAGAAAATCTAATGAAGTTATTTTATCTACAGAGGTTTCACATTTGTACATGTAGTTCTTACTTCAATGAGAGACGAAAATTTAGAAATTTGTTCGATTGAGGTGAACAAAAAATTGAAAATCTAATGAAGGTATATTATCTACAGAGGATTAATACTTGTCCATGTTGTTATTACTTCAGTGAGCGAAAAAAAATTAAGAAATTCACTTGATTGAGGTGAAAAAAAAAATAGAAAATCTAATGAATTTATTTTATCTACAGTAGTTTCACACTTGTACATGTAGTCATTACATTAGTGAGAAAAAAAAATAAAGTTTATGTATAAGAAAAAAAAATCCCTCGGTTGCATGAGGGAGTTCGGGGGGGGATCAGTCAGGGTGGCGCGATTTGGCGCTGGCGCGATCTGTGTCCCCCCTGAGCTTCCGTACTGTTTTTCATTCTGTAAGTCACACTAGGGCATTGTGATTTTTAGTCGGGGAGGATCGAGGGCAGTTTGATTTGATTTGGGTGGCGGTGGTGTGGGAATTGGGGCCATCCGGTTTGGTTTTGTATGGGGTCGGATCGAGTATCCGTTGGAGTAGATCTCACGTGAAGCCTGATTACTCCGAGTCAACTGAA